CACAAAAATTGAGTAATATCATATCAAACTCACGGGGTACAAATAGTCTCTTACTGAATTTCGTGACCACGCCCACTTCATCGGCCCACTCAAATCGAGTGCGATTTTTGGATGTTATATCATCTTGCCGACTCTCTGTATAAAAAGTTAACAATGTACCACCGAAATATTGAACTATAATATCATGGCTTTCCATTTTGTGTATTTTCGTACTACAAAGTAAAGTTTTTCCCTCGTCATTTTCACCTTTTCCCGAGCGGGTCCGTCAAAATTAAGAAGGCGTTCGTGGTCAAAACAAGACCGAGCAAGGAGTCTTGGGCGATTTCTCTCTTACGCAAGCGCAAATTGAAAATGTACCGCCAAAATCAAAGAGAGGAACAAATTTCCTTTGTTTTGATATGTAAATTGTCGAACAAGGAGCAGATTGAACCTCGTCAAATGGCTAGTCAAAACAGCCACACCTTCCTCCTTTTGCTCGTTTCCTGTTTTATAAGCGTGAAAGCAGTGGGAGAAGAATCGGGTAGCTCGGAAAGCGCTTCACCATCGTTTACTTACGAGATAAACAAGTAAGATTTGTAAAGTTATTTTCCGAAAGAGTCGGAATAAATACATTTTTTTCAGGTTAGATTGCTGTTTTTACCCTAAACGTCGTCCAATAAATTTTTGTTGCAGCCTACTAATCTATACAATTTCGAAGGAAAATATTCAGATGCTTCACCGTCCCCGAAGGGGGTTCTGTCCTGGTGTACCGGTTCACAAGGGAATTACCATTGTTCTTTCTTTGTTTAGGAGTTATCGGTTAGCTATTGTGTATTGTTTGGTCTTTTGTATTGGCTCTTGTGAACCGGTACACTAGGACAGAACCCCGAAGGGTCTCCACTCATCGAAGCGTGTACTGTAGCCAATGCAGTGAATTTTCAGTCTCTTGTTGGGTTTGTCAAGCTCCGTGACTTCAATATCATACAATTTTGTATCTTTTCTCTGTGAAATGACCTTTTCAACAGGGGTGTATGCTGAGTATTCGTTGCAGAATCGCTTTGGTTCTCTTATCTCTCCCTTTGGCTTGTCCGCCATTTTGAAAATTTGCTCAGCAGGGCATCTGGGTTAGCGGCCGCGCCAGGCTGGAACCGACAAAAACAAATGTCCATCGCAGTGGGGAAACAGTTTGATATGTCAAAGTGCTGCAGCATGTGGAGCGTTGGATGCAATTGACCAGTTGCTTTATCGCGGAGCTATCCTTGACGCAGCTGATGACAGTAACCTCACAGCGTTACACTATAGTATCCTTAAAGTACATTCTGACACTTTCAGTGAATTCATTTTAGACATTGAAACTAGGAGGTATATTACCCGTACTGGTCTTCTTGCCAGGTTCTTCCACTATAAGGATTACCATGTTATGAACACACATTTGTATCGATGGCTAGATGTATTCATCAGTTTAATCCTACACGGCTCAAACATAAATGCAATAGATGTACATGGTCGAACGGCACTGCATATAGCAGCTGAAAATGGTTTGGCCGACGCCGTAAATGTTCTTCTGCAGAGGAAGTCGCAGATTGAAGTCAGTGATAAAACTGGTCAGACACCTTTGGATGTTGCAGTCACAATGGCTGCAGTCGTACCCACGTGTGGAAGATTCATAGGCAACGTTGGAACGAGTATGGATCAGCTTCAACCATATTTAAGGGATCACGAGATGGTCGTATACCTTCTTCTTTCACATGGTGAGTTTGTTACGCAATGCAATGATTTACAGGAGAGCTTGCTACAACACGCACTTGTTAATGACCAGCTACATATTGCCCAGCTACTGCTGATCAAGGGAGCTACTCGTAACTGCACGCAAAATCATCAAGGAAAATTCCTTTCCGCTTTTCTTAGTAGAGGTGGTATTTGGGTAGATGTGGTCCATAAACATTTTAATGCTTCGATAAAGATAGAATGCGGAGAGCCATTTAACACGTCTCAATTTCATTTGATATGTTACCATGCTCCGAGCCTGGAGGAAGAAAAGTTTTTTCCAAAAGACCTCTTGTGACGATCAGTCATGTTCATCGAAAAAGGGACCTTTGTTAAAAGCCATTGAAAACCATCATTTGGGGTACAAGGTCATTGAGTTCTGCAAAGATGTTGAGGGATTTACACCGTTACACAGAGCTGCGCAAGGTGCAAACGTGGTTGCTGTTCGTAGCCTCTTAGAACTTGGTATGAGCCAGTCTACACTGAGTCGTCATGGTTACGATGCTCTGACATTGACCCTTCTCCATGCTGAAAAACCTCATTCGTGCTTTTTGGATAATGGTGGGGTGGGAAACGCTTCTGCTGCTGCTCTAGAGTTTCTCCGCCATGAAATGAAATCAAGTGGCTTCCAAATCATCTGTGATCCCAGTAAACCTGAGCTGACTCTATACCACTTAGCAGCCTCCCGTGGCCTAGTGCAGTTCATTAAACAGATCTTTAAAGATAAGATGCTTCATCGGTTAGATGTTGATTGTCCTAACAGCGATGGAATTACACCAATGTACCTAGCGAAATTATTCGACAAATTGGATGATGGAAAAGTATCTGATGTTAATGATGAGTACAATCCCTGGTTTCAAGTTGTGAAACATATCAAGAACCAGAGAGGCAAGATGCAGTATCCAAGCAAAATTGCGGAGTATAATTTAATTTATCACAAGTTGTATGGCTGGATTCCGACGGGCACAGAGCTGAAGTGAGGCCTGATGTTCGTGCTTTAATCACTGAGTTCTTATCTACCTATGGCCAAAAGTATATGTCCTCTTTGGGCTGTGAATATATAATGACAACACAAATGGTGACTAATGATCAAGCTTTACGAACAAATGTATCTTCTGAATTAGAACGACAACTGGTGCATTTAAAACGTCGTAGGTTTCGATCCCGAATATCAAAGCGCCTTTGCGCATATGAATTCAGGAGGATGTCGACTTGGTTCCATAAAATTTTCAGTGATGTTCACTTACCTGAGATTTATTCTTCCGAGTTCGAGATGCAGCTTTTCTATTTGATGAGGTTGTGGCATATGGAAGCATTTGAGTTTTTACGTTGTTACAAGATGACGTTTTATAAATATCGACCACATTTAATCGATGAAAGAAAATTATATCTTCTCCTCAAACACTATGAAGATAATATTTCACTATGGTACCTACAGAGTATCTGTCTTGTAGTTGAAGATGCATTTCGTTTGAATTTGAGGTCATACTTGGACAATGATGACTACAGGGACTTACATCAGATCTTACATCAGAACTATCCAGGCTTCATAAGGAACCGACTCGGCCGACTCGAGGACACTGCTAAGAAAACATGGATAAGAGATTTTGCTGAATCTTAGCCATTAGAAACTTTTTTCAAGTTTTCTCTAGGGCTACACAGTCACTACGATTATCTGAAAGTTCTGAACGTTGGACTGGAACCCGAGACACGTATTTTGCTTAATTCAGGTAAATTAAAACAAAATTATACTTTTCAACGTGTTCTAGGAAACTAGCCTGGAATATTCAGTGGAAACGTACATACATACATACATACATACATACATGGTTTATTTGATAAAGCAGGTTACTAGGTAGGCAAGACTAAAGTCCTGATGTGGACCTGCTAACTAATTTAAAACTTTACACTTAATTAAGAAATAGAAATATGTACATATATATAGAAGTTACTTGTATTACAATAATTAGTTCAAAAATATGTATAAATATCGTCCTTATT